CCATGAGGGGTGACCTTGAGGGGAGATGAGGGGTAGCTGTGAGCAGCAGGGGTGGCAGCTAATACAGAGTAGGACACTGTGGGGGGTAGATGAGGGGGAACTGTGAGTGGAGGGGCAGCCATGAGGGGAGACCAGTTTGCCCTTATTGACATGGTTTAGTGGTGGGCTTGGCAGTCCTGGGGTTATGGTTCGACTCAATGATCTTGGAGGTCTTCTCCAACCTAGTTGATTCTATGATTCATAAACATCAAGTGATGGCTTTTCATGAATAGTGACCTTGCTTAATGCATAAAGGAAATGCACAATTTCTTTCTCCAACACATTCAGTTAAAAGTAACATCAGTTAAGGATTAATTTAGACTTGATAATAATCAAAAACATTAGGTCATCTAAAATAACATCTTGCCCTCTGGTGCTTATGAACGTCTATGAAACATCAGCAAGCCTTGACTGTTCAGCATCTTCTGTATTTCCTGTTTTAGAAGACAGTTAATGTTATATCATATGCATGGGCAGGTCTAAAAAGCCACACAATATGCCAGTGAACTACATGAGTTTTGTTACTAACTCAGAAAATGTAATCTTTCATGCATGTGAGGTAACACAAGACTGACCAAGAGTAACTAAACTACAGTGCATGCCTAAATCTGTTGCCACTTCAGCACATGGAAAGATCAACAGTGCAGTAACAAGCTTGAAAAAGAAAACAAAAGTGAGTTTTAATTGTTAGAATCATAGAATAGTTAGGGTTGGAAAGGACCTTAAGATCATCTAGTTCCAACACCCCTGCCGTGGGCAGGGACACCTCACACTAAACCACACCACCCAAGGCTTCCTCCAACCTGGTCTTGAACACTGCCAGGGATGGAGCATTCACAACCTCCCTGGGCAACCCTTTCCAGTGCCTCACCACCCTCACAGTAAAAAACTTCTTCCTTACATCCAATCTAAACTTCCCCTGTTTAAGTTTTAACCCATAACCCCTTTTCCTGTCACTACAGTCCCTAATGAACAGTCCCTCCCCAGCATCCCTATAGTCCCCCTTTAGATACTGGAAGACCGCTATGAGGTCTCCACACAGCCTTCTCTTCTGCAGGCTGAACAAGCCCACCTTTCTCAGACTATCTTCATACAGGAGGTGCTCTTTGTGCTACCACAGTAATAAAAAAAGATGGTTTTCTGGACTGTTGCAATGGAAGTACTATAATCTCTTATTAAAAAAAAAAAATGGGCATAGCACTGGAATGTTAGTTATAATTACACATTACAAATTATAGAAATTGTCACTGAAAGGATTATGGCTAATTTCTCATGATAAAGTTTTTACATATACACCTTAGAGGGAAAAAAAAAAGGCACTAAAAATACTTTCAAAATCTTGCAATATTTCATTGACATTAAAAGCTGAAATTTAATATTTGTTTATTTACTGCTCTTCATTTGTTTGACTGATTAATTATTAACTTACGGTCTCCTCATCTGTACAGGAACTATCCAGAAGACCACGCAAGGAAACCAGCATTTTAGTGAAAGTGCTTTCCTCAGACAATCACACTGCCTTGAACAGAATAAAAGAGGGACTCTTCCACTCCCACATTCTGGCTGACATCATCACTCCCTGATAGGATGCAAGTACTGGCACTGTTTCAGCTCTGTGTGTAAATTCCCATATGTCCTTTTGCTATATTTGGCCCATAACACAATTTTCTACCAACCTTTTCATTACTAAATTATTTTATCATAGTTGAAATAGAAATCAACATAGCAAAACAATTTCTTTGAATTCAATGAAATCTAATTAAAATATTGACTGTTCTCCATCTATGCATAAGTAGGACAAAAACCAAACAGGGAGCTGTCCCAAGTCTCTTCCAGTTCACTCCACCTGAGGGTGGAGTCTCCAAATCCCAACAGACTGCAGGATTAAATATCAGTATCAGATATTAGTAAGGATGGTCACTTGTTTAGGTTCTCCCTGCCTCTGATGGCTGTGCTGCACCTGTGTTTTCTTCATCAGACAAGTTAGAATGAGGGTTCATATGATGCATCCCCCTGTCTTAACAGGACAGTAATTCTAAGCGGTGATTAGGACTTTTTAACTCTTATTAATTATACTTTGTCAACACTAAAGAATCAGATTAGCAACATAACTTTTCTATATGAGTAGCCTTCTGAACTTGGCCCACAAACATGCCATGTAAATGAAAAGAAGTTCACTTCCAAGATGTAAATCAGAAGAGCTTGTCTTTAAAATTTAACTTAGTAAGTCATTTACAAAAACTGAGTTTCAAATCCATAGCCAACTAAGATATCTCACCTTTGTTTCAAAATCAGGGAAGCAAAACTATCCAATCTAAATTTAGTAAGCAGCAAATAACCATAAATTAGACCTCTGCGTTAAGAACAGTGAGCATCTGCAAACCAAGCTCTATGTGCAGATTCAACATAGTCAGTATGACTTTGCAGTATTTTAGCCTTCCTTAATAATTCCTGTGATTAGGGGCAATACACTCAAGAACAGAATGGTTGTTTCTTTTGTGATGGGATTGTAATGAAGAGATACACTGTGAAGTATTTCACAGGTATAAAGCTTTTAAGCACTGGAAAAAGCACTGAAGATAATCATTGAATACCTACTCTCAAGTCATGTAAATGAAATGGTTGCTGCACTATATACACAGGTCAGTTTGTGCAACGGTACTCAAAGATGTGGCTGTAAAAGTGCCAAGCGCTCTCAGCAGCACTCAAGCACCAAACAGGTTGCAATCCATAAGAAGCTTTTACAGTCCGAAGTGTTAACAGGACAATATAAGTCAGCAGCATTACACTCAAGTCCACAAATTCCTAGCAAAAAATGTGAAGCATTTTCAATCTGTGTATGCCCTTCCCCTGTGTTTATCCAGTGCTGATACACACCAGCTTTCAAAATGACCAGTTACATCACTGGTATGTGTACTTCCACTGCCTGAATAAAATCCCACTAGCTATCTTCTCAAGTACACAAAGAGGCTCTGTATCACACGTATCTATAATTTGAGTCCATCATCTTCATTACCAACAAAACACTTTTTATTCTCCCTCCAGTTTCCTCTGCTTGTTCTTCTTCTGGTACCTCTGCCACAATCATCCCATAAAGTTTCACAACTGATAGCGCAAGAGCATTGCACTCCAAATCCATCCTTAGTTTTCTGGAGTATGCCCTGGCCTTTGGTTGTTTCATTTCCATCCAGTATATAGGTAGTCTCTGCTGAAAGGATACATATACGACAGCTGAACCAACATACATATATATATATATATGTTGTGCTACAGGCATTACTACTTATATTGCAACGGTTATATTAATATATATCACAGGCCTCAACCAGAAAAAAAAAGGCTCTTTAAGTATGACCAACTAAAGGTTAAGAATCTGCTCAACTAGGATGTTCCAAAAATAAAAGTGACTGGTGACTCCAAACATCTCAGAGATTATTCATTCTTAACTGGCCAGCCCTCTGTAGGAACTTTCTAACTCAAAACTGGTATCTAAAGGTTTTCATAAGCACAGTCCCAATGTGTTTTACTTCAAGCAGTAGTGAGAAGATTTGTGGAATGTAAACTGTAGACAGATCCATTAAGTCTGTCATGGTCTTTTAAATAATTGTGTCACATTTCAGATGGGTATTTCTCTGATATACCATATCTATAAATTAGAGGTGATAGTGCTAATTGACCATTCCTAAATACAGTCTGCCAGATGCAGCACAGGGATGTAAAAACAGAGTGTACATCAGAGCTATCTCCACAAGGCAATGCTGAATTAAAAAAGATTTTGTCAAGTGTCTGGGAAATCATAGCTGGATATTAGGCTTTGACATGGCCTAAAAAGGTATTTTTAAAACTAGTTTTGTCTCATTTTAAGTGTTATGCTTTACACTAACAAACCATTAACAGATTGCGTTTGTCAACATAATCTGTAAAAAATGTTTTTCTCACACTCCACAATAAAAAGCTGCCCTGTTAGAAATGCTGTTCTTGGCACAAGGTGTTAAGCTGAGTTCTGCCCCCACGCCTCCAGAGAATGGCTCAGCAGAAGCTAGCTCCCAAACCCGTTTTTAAAAAGAGGACAAGCCTCCCAGACCATGCTTTCAAAGAGAGGTTTAAATAAAAATCCTGTCTCATTATTTATAATGATTTTTTCTAAACCATCATAATGAATCCAAAAAGGAAGCTATACAAAACCAAAGAGCTTTTATATTAATTAACAAAGTAATTATATGTTGTGCTTATTTGCTTAAACAAGCTATTTCAGTCTACAGTGGTAACCCTGAGGAACCTGTGTGTCCTGGGTTCAGCAGTAGCAGGCATTTTTCTCCTTCTTGGTAGCTGGTGCAGTGCAGTGTTTTGACTTTCGGCCTGGGAACAGAGCTGATAGCGATGTTTTGGTTTGGCCAAGGACTTTGTGAGCCTCATGCTCTGCCAGGGAGGGGGGAAGCCGGGAGGAAGCAGAGACAGGACACCTGACCCAAACTGACCAAAGAGGTATTCCATACCACAGCACGTCATGCCCAGGATGTAACGGGGAGTTAGCCGGAAGGGCTGGTAGACTGCGGGGGTTGGAGGAGGTTATCAGTCAGTGCTTGGTTGGGCTGGGGGGGGGGGGGGGGGGGGAGTTATCAGTTGGCTGGTGCTGAGGTGATGTATTCTCTTCCCTTGTTATTTCCTTTATCATTGTTATTATTGGTGGTAGCAGTAGTGATTTGTGTTATACCTTAGTTACTAAACTGTTCTTATCTCAACCCGTGAGAGTTGCATTCTTTTCGATTCTCCTCTACGTCCCTCCGGGAGTAGGGGGAGGGAAAGAAGGCGGGGAGTGAGTGAACGAGTTGTCTGACTGGGTTTAAACTGTGGTAGCCAAGTGTCAATACCACAATATTTGCCATACACTGTATTAATCCACATGCCAAAAATATCAAAGGCTAAAGATGTTTCAGAGACCACAGCAATATCCATTTTACCTGCTAATGGTGTCAGCTTCTTCAATCACATCCATTAGATTTAGAGAGAACCTAATGCACAAAGAAATGGAACAGCAAGGATTTAGAGAGGTGCAGCAACTATTCAAGAGCATGTGGACAATAATGAACTGATGTACAAAAAGGGATCTGAGGGAAGTTTTCAGTGGTCAGGAACATTTTGGGTCAGTGAAATTTCCAGCATATGCAGAACTTTGAATCTAGTACCATGAAGGATGGTGAACACATAAGCAAAGGTAATTCATGATCAAAGCCAGCAATTCCCATAGGATCCACACTGTGCTGAGGCCTCCTTTACAGCCTCAGCATAGCAAAAGTGAATGGCAGATCGTGTTCTTGAGATACTAGTTCTAACACAGCTGGCTCCTTTCCACATCGAGGGGGAAGCAAATAAAACATAGAGCAGCAGCAAGCAGAAATAAAAGCTCCTAGAATTAATCGGGCTCTGCTCCTTAGAATATGATTTTTTTTTGTCCTTCTAAGATAGGATAATGATGCCTTCAGCTTGACAGAGGACAAAATTCCAAACAATAAAAGCATTTTCCAGCAACTGTAATAAGATTAAGATTGCAATATTCACAACAGCAGGATGATTTGGCATAGAAGACAGTAAGAGAAGGATGCATTATAAGCTACCCTTGCATTGTCTTTAAAATTTGGTTCAGCCAAATGCAGTGACTAACCCAGCCTATCATTTAAATGGGGAAGTTGCGCAAGAAAGCGCAAGTGAGAGAAACATCAAGTAAAATATTCCAAGTTAACTTTTTACTATGTATATCTAGCAATTATTCAGCAATTTCCCTTGACTTTATTAAGCAAAACCAAATAGCCAGTATACAATGTAGAAGCGCAATATTGCTTCATTTTAGTAAAATATTTGCATGTTTTCTCAACCCCTCTATGAAATTATTTGTTTGCCCATCACATACACATATTTCCTCTCTCCAAATCTGCCTCCTGTTGCTCCTATTGATCAAGGGCTTCAAAAAAACTAGAGCTGGCACTTCAGTACATCCCTTTTTCAAAGAGGAAAAGCACTAGTTTGTGAATAGCTTGTGACTACTTGCAAGACCAAGTTAACAACGAACATAGAACATAACTACCTAGAACACAAGGGACTCAACAGTGGAACTGATGTTCAGGTTTTTCTATAAAGCCTCTGGACAGGATAACAAACAAGGAACAAGGCCTTGTTCTGCCACTACTGCATCAAAAAGACCAAAAGGACTTCACTTTTGTATGCTCTATGCATTCAAGCAAAAGGGCTGTCACCACATTTCTGTTGCCTTCCTCTTCCCCTACCACCACCTTTAAATACTTGCATGGCAATCATCACCTCATTATCCTGATTGAAATACACAAGTTAACATTTCAAAGAATTTAGCACAAGAAAAAACTGTCATGTATTACACTTCATTAAGTCAACTACTGCTGATTATGCAAGAAGAACTATTTCAATAATATTTAATTAAATCATTTATTCTATTACTAGGTTGACAGTAGCTTCCGTTATTTGGAAATAGCTTTTCAAGCAAGGTTTTCTTCATGATTTCATCCACTGGACAAGTAAAAGCATACAAAATAGAGGTGCTAGAGAATTTCATAGCCAGATTTTCAGCATTCTGTATTTTTATTCTGTCCTGGCTGTCACTCTCATTTCAAAGCCTGCTTTCTTTGTAGATTTTTTTTTTTCTTTGCCTGAGTCAGAAATGACTCATCACCTAACTTATGATGAAATGTTCCAACAATGGTACATTCGTCAATTGGAATAGAACCAAAGTCTTGAGGTACCCTTGCCTTGAAGCATCTTCCAACTATAAATACACTATCTGTTCCAGATGATAGGCATAAATTGAAACTACTACTCTTTCCTGTAAAGCCTCTGATCATGACCCTACTACATAAAATTAAGGAAGGGGTGAAAACCAGACTGCCTACATTGGATGTTCTAATCCCACCCCATCAGCTTTTACTTTTTGCTACATAATGTTGGGAAAAGATTTTTACTTAGAAATCAAAAGGAAAACATCACCTCAACTAAGGTCTTGTAAAAGTCTGACACAAAAAGAAGCTCCAATATAAAATCAGTTACCTAGCTATCTCTCTACAGTTCTGAAACTGAAAATAATGCAAGACAAGAATGACTGCAATAAAGCTCCAGTTCCTTACGTTGTTCTGAACACAGTGCACCCTGATAAACATGATTCACAATTTTTAAACCAAATCTATTATTCTTTTACATGAAGAAGGTCAGTTATAAATGGAATTTTCCACCTATTCATCACTTCAACCCTTTTTTTAATCTAACAATTGTGTATGTTGTACAACATATTCGTAATCCTTAACAGTAGATTTAGCCATCATAAAGACCTGCTTGAACAAGCTGACAACATAAGTGATATTTAAAATGCCTGTTAGTGACCATCAGTGAGACTAGTCTCCCTGTTTTCCAAGTGCCTGGAAACTGTGAAGTGCAACTGCCACTTCCAGTTGGAATGGGTTTCATGAAATCAGGAGCTCAAAGCAGCATGCTAGAAAGTAAAGGACAGAGGAAGGTAGTCAGCAGGCCAGGACTCATCTTCAGAGAAACAAAAATTGCAATGCAATTACATTTCTCTCTGTTGATATAATTACTAAACATGGGAAGCTATTAAAATGTAAAATCAAAGTGACACTCTATAGTTTACAAACAGGACAGAAACAAATACTAACTACAATTTGCAGTATTTTCCCTACAGACCTGTATCTAATTGTATTTTAAGAGTGGAAAAATGTTGAGTTAGGTCTCTCTGAACTGTTGTTTCACCATAACAGGGGTAGTGTTTTGTGGATCTGCAAATATCCAAACAGCACTTACCTGGCGCTTAAGGAAAATGGTATATTGCCATGCCAGGAAAAAAAAAAAAAATATATATATATGTGTGTGTGTATATATATATATATATATACACACACACCCTTTTTGATATTTTTATATGTTTCTAAAGAAAAGTGAAATAAAAGCAGAAATTAGAACATCAGAACAATGTGGGATGTTTTATAGAAGTTCCTATATTTGTATGTTTGAGTGTGCTTCCCAAACAAATGCAAGATTCATCATTCCATTTGTTAAAGGAATCTTAATAATTTCCCATCCAGCTAAGATGGCACACCCATGTCAAACACCAGAGCTGCAATCCAAAACTCAAGAACAGTCAGAGCCCACTGGGTCACATTTTAAAAGCAGACTGACAGCAACTAAATTTCACTCTTCACTAACACCAGTTAGTGGTCTACTATACCCAAAAAGGCATGGGTGTTACCGATGCAATCAGTAAGAGCTTTCTTATCACAAAAGCTACTAGGACTACTGGCACTCTGTCTTGCATGAAAGACCCTGGAGAGAAGCCAGACCCAAGGAATGCCAAGTTTGCATTATCCTCTCTCCTGAAACCAGTCAAGACAGAAGAGCATTCATGACTCACTGCCTAACCTCCACACTGCAGATACCAGAAATATTCTGCAGTGTCCTAGAGTCAAGCAGAAAAATCGGGATTTTTAGTCACAGTGACACTAACTATTCTAATTTGAAATATTTATTTATCCTGAAATAAGAATGTTTTAGACTTTGACTGTTTATCTGATGGGCTGAAGGCTACACCAGCCATCTATTACAGAAATACTTCTGCTCTAATATACCACAACAAAATACTTGAGACTTTAATTCTGTAATATAAAAACCTGCATCCTTATTGAGATGATTTAATAAATGCTTTAAAACAGATGTGTTGACAAAACTTTAAATAAAGGGAAAAACTCCACCACACACATACACTGACAGACTGTCTTTCTGAACTATAACCAAAAGTTGCAGTATGCATGGAGCTATTGAACAGCGTTGCTCTCCAGGAATAAACTAGCAACATCAGAAATGCCAGCACTCCTGAAAACCTGCAAGGGTTACCTGACCATTACTACATAAATACCATTTCTGTCATCACAGAACTTTAGAATAGTAAGTATATTTCATACATGAGAAAAAGCTGAGAGAAATCCTGGGTGCTTTGCATTCTTCAGAGAAAGACAACTCTAGTATATCTTGGTGTACAAGACCACCTTGTAAAACTTTAAAAAAAAAAAAAATTAAATAAGTAAGAACAAAAAACTATGCATTAGTATAGCCAGCTCAAAGATACTACACATGCATATATTTGTCATCAAAAAAGGGTCACTGAAATCAACACTGTCATTTACCAAGTCTCATTTCTTACTCAAAGGGATACATGGAAAAGACACAAATCCTTTTCTTACTGTGATCTATTATACAAAAGGAACAGGTCTGTTCCTAAGGATCGTTACCTCATACAAAGCAAACCCACCAAAGGAGAAAATAGGGCCATTAAGTACTTGTTCACTGGAAGAAGCTGACATACTTTGGAAGATTGACGGTGCTGCAAAGTCGCAGATGCTGCTTGCCTTGCCTTTCTTGAACCAGAAGGCAAGAGCCAGGACAAACAGAGCACACAATGTCCAAATACATCATCTTTATACCTGCAATGCTATGAAGCAAGTCTTTGAAGCCACTTGAGAGATAAGGGTGCAGCAGTTCCAGACTAAGGCAAAATACAAATCACTTCAAGAGCACCCCCAAACTTGCCACACAAATAAAATTATGAAAGAAAAACAAAATCAACATTTTGAGCCCACTGTTAGCTGCATTGTCACTTTTTCAGGAAAGCTGTTACCCTAGAAAATACGATCAGCTGAAATTATGATAAAATCTATTATTTAATCCAGTGTATCATAAATTGATGCTACAACAGTTAACAGCATGTTGTATCTTGAAAACTGACTACTATTTAAGCAAAGAAACCCATGTAAGATGCATGTAAGGTTTGCCACTGGTCACAGCACACTGAGTTTCTGCATCACCATTCTGGCCATCACAGTTTAGTGAGTGCTATCAGTGGAAATTCATAAATCAACTGGCTGCTTTTCCTTTTCTCTCTCTTGCCACCATCTCACCAAGCCCATCTTCTCAGTGGGTTTTACAACCTTTTACTTCTCCAGCCTCAAAAATGTGAAGAAAAACATTTCTACACTTATTAAACAATGTAAATAAAAACCACAACTCACAAACATCACATTTAATAGAAGTTCACATAGTAAAATCATTTGTGACCTCTTTTTGCCTTGGAATGACCCAGCCAGCAGGACTATTATTGCAGTTACAGCTTTTTAAATGTGCTGTTGTTTCCCCTCCTCACTGTACATATTTAACAAACAACACAGGTTTATCCCAGTCATCACTGTTCCTACTTAACTGTGATTTACAAAGTCTTAGATTTCAGCTGGCTCTAAATTCAGGTATTTGGAGAGGGAAACACAGCACTGTTCTCAAGTTTAAGCTAACATATTTATACT